AAATACTCAACATTTTCAATCATGTTTTCTATATGCCGTAAAAGGAACAAATTGGAAAAAAGTATTATGTAAAAAAAAAATCAATAAATGGTTTTCCAAACTGATGAATTGAATACGGTTTTAAACTGATTACAAATAACCATATAAGCATCAATGGGCATCTTAAACTATCAATGCATCTCATCAAACATGAAAAATGACACTAACCACTTCAGCTGTCACAACTGTACATTGTATCTGTTTATAAGACAATAACTATCATTACAGCAGAACTACACCCACCTCCCCTAGCTCTCCGAAACCCCGTTCACACTTGAACGTTTTTCAGCTTGACGCTCAACAAGTAAAATCCCATTATTTGCAAAGGCCCCTGTTCACACTTGAGCATTCTGTCGCCTGTAGCAAAACGCCTATCACTCAAAAAAGTACTTGCGCTACTTTTCAGGCAAACTTGAGCGTTTTGTCTCCTTAGACTTGATGGGAAAAATAGCTGAACAGCATTTGTTTTAAGTGTTTTTTTCCAGCTCAAACTGCAGCTATATCTATTGGCCACAGCAAAAACACTTGAAAAAAATGACTATAATATTTGCAAATCTGCTAAAAAAAAAAATGTTTTAAAAAAAAATCCCTGAAATACGCTTCGCGTGAATGGACCTGTGCCGACATATTTACCTAGTTTTCTTTTGGGTATAGCTTTGACCATCTTGATTACCAGCTATGACATACAACATGTTACTTTGTATCTTGCTATTGAGCATTTGCAGAGTGTTTATAAACATCAGCTGTAAAGCTGCATTCACACTACAGCATTTAGCAGAAAACACCAAAAAAATAATGTCTTTTGTGCTTGTATTGCCATTCATTGCTAATGGCACCCTATATATGGCAAAAAAATTCATGTTTCGTCAGCGTGGCTGAAAAAAATTGCACAAAGCTTGACACTCAAAAAAGGTGAATGAGCTACTCTTCTGCGTTTTTCTCACATAGGGAAGTCTATTGAAATGAAAGGGCTGTTCTATGTATGTAATGCAAAAACGCGCACAAACACAGTATGATTTTGCAATTGAAATCAGTTTAATAGCTGCTGATTTATACAGCATCTCTAGGCTGTCATTTTGGCAGCCATGCAAATGTAGGAGGAAGCGGCAGTGAGGCAGAACAGTTTGTACTACACACGCCCTGTGTATGTCCAATGAATTGTCTTTTTTATTATGTAAGAAAATATAATTGTTCATCAGTAGAAGTTGCAGAGTTCAAAGTATGAGAATGGTGACTCTATAGACCAGGGGTGTCCAACCTTTTGACTTTCCTGGGCCAAACTGGAAAAAGAGGAATGGCCTTGGGTCACAAATAAAATACACTAACAATAAGGATACTCGATTAGTAGAAATAGTGGCCAGATCACAAGTTAACAATCACTGATATAGATAACATACCTATCAATGTAATAAAACTATTTTTTTTTTCGTTATAAAAAGTAAAAGAGGGCAACATAAAACTAGTGCGATATTTCACGCGGTTTTTGATAAACTAATCCGATTCATTGGATGAAGTAGCAATTCTCAATAAATACTCAAGATGCTCATTGGATATTTTGGTTCTGTTTCATACCTGAAAATAGTTGCTCATAAATATAGGTGCTGTCAAAAACTGGTGACATGAATAAGGAGTGATTGGGTAGAGTGGGATATTTTTCTTTGGGAAGATAAAACTTATAAAAGTCCAGTAAAGAGACACTGTAAAAATTTTCTTTGGCTGCATCTGTTTGCTAAGTGTAAATGCATTTTTACTAAAAAAAAATTAAAAAAAAAAAAAAAAAACAAACAAAACCAACATTTTTAACAAGTTTATGATTTTGTGTTGGGCCACATTTATAGCAGTTGTGGGCCACAGGTTGGACACCCCTGCTATAGACAGTCTGATGCAGGGAGATCATGGTGCCAATGCATGTAGTCAATTAATTTAAAAAATTTTTGCAGTAATTCATAGAAAATTAGCAAAATCAACTCTGTTCAAAAGTATTATTTCACAAAAATTCACGTAAAAAAATAAGGTGTACATGGAACAGGACTGCAAAATTTTACACTTCTTGTACCATTTATAAAAAGGTAGAACAACTGCTGGGGAGGGAATAGAAGACTGACAACCAAGGGGTTTGACTTCAACAGGCTATAAAATGGTGACTTTACATTTTAAATAAAGGAAGTCATAACTACATAAAAGTCAATAACAGGCTCTATAGTATACAGTAAACAATCAATTTTTAAGCTATTTTCAGGGTTGGTCATACCCTATTTATATCAGACACAAAAGTGGAAGGACAGGATTCTAGACAAACATTCCCAGATGTGATCCACAAGACAAAGCTATGAAGGCTACAGCAGATAAGACAGGAATGGAAACAGCAAACAGATGACATAATCTAGTAAACAATTACAGCTAATCGTCCTTAAAGCAGCCCCGTACAGAAAAAAAAAATTTAAGCAAGCATAACCCCAAAAGAAGAGACTGAATACTTTTTTTGCGGTCTGATTTGCCAGAACCTTGCTTCACTCAGGAGACATCCTTTGCTGATGTCTGCTGGAAAACCAATACTTCTGGTCCTTTGCAGCATCTCACTGGCTCCTTCTACTGACCTCCACATCATTACCATGTCCTAAATTGGCATGGAGGTCAACAGGGAAACACCAGTGGGAGCTGAGAAAAAAGGAAATAAAAAAAAAAAAAAAAAAAAAACACAGAGGAGATTGATAGTCTCAGAGGTGTCTTGTGTCCCAGTGGGAGATTCATCTTCATTTGATTGGTGTTCAGGTGGCACGGACAGTAGGAAAGCTATTCAGTCTATTCTTTTGCAAGCATGCTTTTTTTGTTTAATAACAAGGTCTCTTAAAATAGAACTTACCCTTAAAATAGTTCTAGAGTCTAAACATTTTTTACCTTTTTACATTAAGGTAAAAACACTCACCACTGTTACCCCCCCCACCCGTGCCTTCATCACTAAACATTTACTTGCCTCTGCTCATGATCCTGCACTATAGTGGTTGCTCACGATCCTGCACTATCCTGGCTGCAGCACTGCTCTTCCCTCTTTCTGATTTTACAGGAGACACTGGGAGTCATAGATTTGTGCTGCTGTCAGTCAAATCCTGTAAAGAGGGAGTGGGGGCGTGCCTTGCTGGCACTGTGCATGCCTATGGGCTCACACAGCCCACTTAGGAGTGTGTGTGCACAGGTGCCCCTTTAGCATCCAGCTTGCTAAGGGGAACCCTGAGAGAAAAAAAAAAAAAGGAGGTAGCACCAGTGGGGGACTGTCAAAGAGGAGGCAAGGGACTGCTCTGTGCAATATCGTTGCATAAAGAAGGTAAGTATAACATCCGATTCATTTAAAAATAAAAAAAAACATTTATAGTGTCAAGTCAGCTGGCAATGAAGAGGTTGTATTATTATGTTAGACTTAAAATCACACTTTAGTTTTTTCTTTTAACATCTATAACTTTAAGGAAAAGCAAAAAGAACATTTAGTACATATCTAGAAAAGAAAAAAAAAAAAATACACATTTCACCATAAAAATCCCTTTAAACATTTTGTAAGTACAGAAAAGTAAGTTTGGACATGCTAGAAATATAGTATGTTCCTAAGTATGACAATATGGTTCTGAATTCCTAAGCACGTTAGAATTTACTAAAGCTGGAAAGTGTAAAATCAGACTCACTTCTGCATAGAAACCAATCAGCTTCTAACCTCAGCTTGTTCAATTAAGCATTGCCAATAAAACCTGGAAGCTGATTGGTTTCTATGCAGAAGTGAGTCTGATTTTACACTTTCCAGCTTTAGTAAATAAACCCCATGGTGTCAGCCCTGCCTACTTTATTATTGATACAACACACACACACCTCCTCTTACCTCCCCCTCCTTATCTCCATAACCCTTCCTATGTAACACGTTTAGGTGTCCGTTTATGACACAGAGAATAGCTGCGATTCCGAGGATCTCAGCTATTCTCTGGTCATTCGCAGTTTATGACACTCAGGAGATCAGTGGAGAACATGATCAGCCCAGAGCTGGAGAATCGGAGGAACCACAAACTAAGCAGCGATAATTTACCTCTGTTAAGTAAACTGATCTCTAACTGTAATCTCGTGAGATTATAGTAAAATCAGCCGGTTTCCAGCGTTTGTAGACCGTTCTCCCTTCGTTCGGAGAACTGATCTACACCGCTTCATAAAAGGCATTCACAGGAGAACTGTGTTCTCCGAGAATGCCGGAGAACTGAGCAGCGATCTATTACTGCTGGTTCATAAACGGACACCTTAGTGGTTTATTTAGGACACCAAAAGGAACCAAATAAGAGGCGTTCATTGTTAAAATTTACATACACTTTTAGGGAAACAATTATATATTTGTAAAGGTTTTATAAATGTTTGACTAACACTAAAGGGCACCCTAAGGGGGCCATTTATAACATTTTGCGAAAATAAACAAAGGCAGAAATGATGCTTACAGTGACCGATTACACTATATCTTTTTAATTTCTTGGATAGGATACTTCGGGAAATGTATATTTTCTTTCCTCCAGGTTTTTATAAATAATCCCCCAATGTATGACCATTTGGAAACTCGGGCACTGCCCGAGGGCCCGGGGTCAGTAGGGGGCCCCATGAGATGCCCCTGGTACCTTTTTCATAGGCTTTTTTGAGTTTGGGCAAGGACACAGGGGCCCCATGATCCCCTATTGCCCGGGGGCCCCATGAGTTGTCAGTCTGCCTCTGATTTAGAGATGAACCAACAGAAACACAAACACTGCTGACATGGTGTGAAAGTGTTTGATAGTCACTGTGCAGTACAATATCTGCCATGCTGAAAATACCTGTTTGACAAATCACGAAGGGAATTCAGAAAGTGAAGACACACAGTACATATTTTATTATGACTAGTGGTATCATCAGCCTTTGAGCTTACTGTAACTAGCTGTGATCACACAAATACACAGGAGGCTTACCTCAAGCTCAATTTCCCTCCGGTTGATGTCATCTGTGGACTGGTTAAGCTTCTCTAGTTCTCCCTGTAGAAGAGAAAAGAAAATGGAAAATCAGGTTAAAAACATACTGACCAAACTAAATATGTGTAAAGTTAATCAGCAAGAAGATTCCAAAGCAGGGGTTCTTAAAGCCCAGCTGAATCTTTGTTTAAATCTGCTAGATAAAATGTACAATACACAAAATTCTTACAGTTTGATTTCTTTAGAAAGCAGCCACAGTCTGAATGGAAACTTCTGACCCCTTGCTAGCATGCTGCAGAGAAGGATCGTTGCTCTCTGTGTGGAAGCAGTGGTCTCTCTGCAGAGATCCAGCACTCAAAAAGGTCTGACAGAGCTATGGGTCCGATTCCGATTGAAAGGTCTGGCAGAGCTATGGGTCCGATTGAAAGGTCTGGCAGAGCTATGGGTCCGATTTAAAGGTCGGACAGAGCTATGGGTCCGATTGAAAGGTCTGACAGAGCTATGGGTCCGATTGAAAGGTCTGACAGAGCTATAGGTCCAATTTAAAGGTCTAGCAGAGCTATAGGTTCGATTTAAAGGTCTGACAGGTCTGTAGGTCCAATTTAAAGGTCTGACAGAGCTATAGGACCAATTTAGCAGGAGGTGTGTCAGACCTATGCAGAGATACCACACAGGGAGCAAGCGTCCTCCTTTTAAGCATGCTGCCAGGGGGTAGGTTTTTAAAATGTAACACACAGTAAGACTGTGATGCACCTGGAATGCTTTTAGATGTTTCCAATTTTAAGTTCAATTCAGATTTAAAGTGGTTGTAAAGGGTGAACATTTTTTTACCTTCATGCATTCTATTCATGAAGGTAAAAACCTTCAGTGAGCAGCTCCCCCCGCAGCTCCCCTAATACTTACATGAACCCTATCTTCAGCTAGCACTGTGCATGGGAGCCTTGGCTCTCCCTGGTCTCTCTCTCGCCTCATTAGCTGAGACACAAGAGTGGGAACCACTGCTCCCACTGCTGGCAATCCCAGCCAGTGAGGAGGGAGTACGGATGGGACTGAACCACCTTCTGTGAGTCCCCATAGACACAGAGCTGGCTAAGGAGCAAGCACACGAGTGCCCTCAGAACAAGCTACAAGGGGGAGGGGCCACAAGTACCAGCGGGGGGCCCGAGAACAGCAGGATCGGGGCTGCTCTATGCAAAACCATTGCACAGAGCAGGTAAGTATAACATTTGTTATTTTAAAGAAAAAATACTTTAACCTATTTACAATTACAGGCCCCCCAAAGATTGCCCAGTATGTTCCAATACACCTTGCACCAGGCTTTATTTATTACAGACATTTATGCAGCACAAATTTATGATTTACATATGTCCCTGCCCTCAAGAAGCTTATTAGGACCTCAAAAGATGCCTATAGCTTGCCTTTACATGTGGATAGCTAGGAACAAAATAACAAAGAAAAATCACAAGGATTTTAATTATATGTATTTTTACATAAAGAGTAAACCACAAAAACACAAACTAGAAAAGAAAAATGTATAAAACCTTCAAAGTACAGTGCAACAAGTAAATACTAATAATTTGATCCCACTGTGTCAAATCACCAACATACAATATTCCTCAAAATCTCTTGTATGTGCAACAAACAACATCAACAATACATAAATTGTGAATAATCACTAAATACATTATATATAGTATAGAACAATATAAAATGCAAATCCTCAATATCACAGTCTACTTCATAAATGATGTGTTCGTATTGTGATAAACACATGCATCCATTTACATGCATGCTTGCCGTGCATATTCAAAAACAGGTCGGAGATTGATTTCTGCAGTCACTTTTGCAGCAATTGTTTACTTATTCACAGTCCTGCACAATGTCCTTTTGTCTCTTTTGGGCAGTTGTCCATGTTGACTGCGCTTATGCTCATTAGACAACGTTTTCCCGGAAACTGTATACGCCGTCATAACCTTTGATACTGTACCTCGCAACACGGCAAATAAATTGCCAATCAGCTGAGCAGACACCAACAATTTGCCCTCTTTGAAGCTCAGTAAGCTCTGACATGTCTCCATTTTACTAGAAGCACACGCAAAAGGTGCAGCTTCTTACCGGTTAGTTAGGTGTCATTACACAGCGGAAGTAAAAGAAAGTTACATCACTGCTGCTTGCAACGCGAAACATGTATTATATACAGTTGTGTTCAAAATAATAGCAGTGTGTTGAAAAAAAGTGAATAAAGCTCAAAATCCTTCTAATAGCTTTTATTTCCATACACACAAATGCATTGGGAACACTACACATTCTATTCTAAGTAAAGTGAATATTAGTGAAAGTGAAAAAATAGCAGTGTTTGTTTTCTTCTTTACAAACTCAAACATTCACTATATAAACCAGTGGTTCTCAACCTTTCTAACGCCGCGACCCCTTAATACAGTTCCTCATGTTGTGGTGACCCCCAACCATAAAATTATTTTCGTTGCTACTTCAGAACTGTAATTTTGCAGTGGGAGGAATAGTGCCCCATCATTGGTATCAGTGGGAGGAATAGTGCCCCATCATTGGTATCAGTGGGAGGAATAGTGCCCCATCATTGGTATCAGTGGGAGGAATAGTGCCCCATCATTGGTATCAGTGGGAGGAATAGTGTCCCATCATTGGTGTCAGTGGGAGGAATAGTGTCCCATCATTGGTGTCAGTGGGAGGAATAGTGCCCCATCATTGGTGTCAGTGGGAGGAATAGTGCCCCATCATTGGTATCAGTGGGAGGAATAGTGCCCCATCATTGGTGTCAGGGGGAGGAATAGTGCCCCATCATTGGTATCAGTGGGAGGAATAGTGCCCCATCATTGGTGTCAGTGGGAGGACTAGCGCCCCATCATTGGTATCAGTGGGAGGAATAGTGTCCCATCGTTGGTATCAGTGGGAGGAATAGTGCCCCATCGTTGGTATCAGTGGGGTAGGAATAGTGCCCCATCATTGGTATCAGTGGGAGGAATAGTGTCCCATCATTGGTGTCAGTGGGAGGAATAGTAGCCCCATCATTGGTATCAGTGGGAGGACTAGCGCCCCATCATTGGTATCAGTGGGAGGAATAGTGTCCCATCGTTGGTATCAGTGGGAGGAATAGTGCCCCATCACTGATGTCAGTGGGAGGAATAGTGTCCCATCGTTGGTATCAGTGGGAGGAATAGTGTCCCGCCATTGGTGTCAGTGGGAGGAATAGTGCCCCATCATTGGTATCAGTGGGAGGAATAGTGCCCCATCATTGGTATCAGTGGGAGGACTAGCGCCCCATCACTGATGTCAGTGGGAGGAATAGTGTCCCATCGTTGGTATCAGTGGGAGGAATAGTGCCCCATCATTGGTGTCAGTGGGAGGAATAGTGCCTATCATTGGTGTCAGTAGGGGGAGGAATAGTGCCCCATCGTTGGTGTCAGTGGGGGGAGGAATAGTGCCCCATCATTGGTATTAGTGACACAAATGATGGGGCACTATTCCTCCCACTGACACCAATGATACTTACCTTGCTGACTCCTGCTCCAGCCTGGGCTCGCTCTCTCCCTCCCCCATCTACAGCCTGCAGCAGCAAAATTTGCACTTACCTGTCAGCTGTCTTCCTTCTCTGGCCTCTCTCCTCTTCACTCGGTCCTGCAGCTCCCTCGATCTTCTTCGATCTGCGCGCTCTGCCGCTCGGCTCCTCCTCTCCAAGCTCCACCTCCTCGCCGGTGATTGGCCGCCTGTGTGCCTCTCCTGAGCTACAGTTCCGGTGGCCAATCAGCGGCGAGGAGGCAGAGCTGTTGAGTGATCCCGGAGGTGTGGCCAGGTTACAGGGGCAGCATATCATCCCGCCCACAGATCGCAAGACAGAGCAGCGGTGTCTCGGTTCCTAAGACCATCGGAAATATGTGTTTTCCGATGGTCTTAGGCGACCCCTGGGAAATGGTCGTTCGACCCCCAAAGGGGTCGCGACCCCCAGGTTGAGAACCGCTGATATAAACTGAAAAATGTTTGAAGATTTTGCTTTCCTTTGAATCACTTAATGAATATTTAGTTGTATAAGCACTGTTTCTGAGAACTGCTGTACATCTGTGTTGCATGGAGTCAACCAACTTCTGGCACCTGTGAACAGGTATTCCAGCCCAGGATGATTGGACTACATTCCACAGTTCTTCTCTATTTCTTGGTTTTGCCTCAGAAACTGCATTTTTGATGTCACCCCACAAGTTTTCTATTGGATTAAGATCCGGGAATTGGGCTGGCCACTCCATAACGTCAATGTTGGTCTGGAACCAAGATGTTGCACGTTTACTGGTGTGTTTGGGGTCGTTGTCTTGTTGGAACACCCATTTCAAGGACATTTCCTCTTCAGCATAAGACAGCATGACCTCTTCAAGTATTCTGGTGTATTCAAACTGATCCATGATCCCTGGTATGCGATAAATAGTCCCAACACCGTAGTATGAGAAACATCCCCATATCATGATGCTTGCACAACCATGCTTCACTGTCTTCACAGTGTACTGTGGCTTGAATTCAGTGTTTGGGGGTCGTCTGACAAACTGTCTCCGGTCACTAGACCCAAAAAGAACAATCTTACTTTCATCAGTCCACAAAATGTTGCGCCATTTCTCTTTAGGCCAGTCAATGTGCTCTTTGGCAAATTGTAACCTCTTCAGCAGATGTCTTTTTTTCAACAGTGGGACTTTGCGGGGGCTTCTTGAAGATAGCTTGGCTTCACATAGGGGTCTTCTAATTGTAACAGTACTCACAGGTAACTTTAGACCTTCTTTGATCTTCCTGGAGCTGATTGTTGGCTGAGTCCTTGCCATTTTGGCTATCCTTCTATCCATTCGAATGGTAGTTTTTCGCTTTCTTCCACGTCTTTCAGGTTTTGATTGCCATTTTAAATCATTTGCAATCATTTTAGCTGAGCAGCCTATCATTTTCTGCACTTTTTTATTTGTTTTCCCCTCTCCAATCAACTTTTTAATCAAGATACACTGTTCTTCTGAACAATGTCTGGAACGACCCATTTTCCTCAGAATTTCAGAGAGAAATGCAC